GAGAGAGAGAGAGAGAGAGAGAGAGAGAGAGAGAGAGAGAGAGAGAGAGAGGGAGCGACTAAAGAGATGAAGGCAGAAGAGACAGAAGTTACCTCAAGGGAAAGACTAGCACGCAGATCATCCACTTTCACAAATTTTCAGAGCATCTTACACTAGGAAACTTTTTGATTGTATCTGACCATAATATCGGGTCAGATACGTCGTAGTGTTAATATGGCCTCAGAGAAACAACTTACTTGACGATGACCACGCGTTCTACGATAGTTCTTTCTCCTCTTCTTCTTAAAGATTATGACTTTCGCATCAAGTGCCTGCAAAAGACAAAGCAAGTCGTTTTGTATGCCCATAAGAGACGGCAAAAAAAAAAAGGTCTTATCTGGGGCATCACAAAATACTAGAATAGGCATGCAACATCTGTAGTCCAGAAAGCACTGCCTTCCATTACCTGCTGCGTTTTTTTTGTTCCTTTTTCCTCCTCTTCTTTTTATTTTTCTGTTCTTTTCTTTTAGCGTTTTTTTCCCACCGGAACAAGCGTTGCCTTATCTTATCGTACAGAAAGCCCTCACCGTGGTGCTCGGCAGCATATACGATCCGGAATTTCTGGACTGTTCTCACCCGAAGCGTGCAATACTTAATGAAGTTCAGAGGTGCATTAGGGTCAGATCCCACTACCCTGGATTATTCATTTTTCACCCTCGATTACGAAGATTGACGGTCAGAAATGAACAATAGGGGCCAGTGGGATCTGGCCCTTAGCCCCAAGTACACATGAATAGTAGTGGCGGTGCAAAGACATCACATCCATTCACGACAGCTACTCGCAGAGCCTTGGCCCATGCCAGGCGGGCATTTCGCAAACCTGCGTGGCTGCATCAGCCCAAAGGCCGGAAATCCATAATACAGCAGGGGTGGCAAATACGTGGACATGGTTGCGCCCACCCAGGCACGCCAGCCATACCCGCTAGGGTATGGGTGGTTCAGGGTGTGGCTTAGGGTGATTGCCTGGGTACGAGCACATACAGGGATTTGTCCCAGCCGTGGGACGCCACAGAAAGAGTGCCCCTCGCACAAAGGGTATGCTTAACCTCTTTTTTTTCTTTCCGTGCTGAGTCTTGATAAGTGCGAGAGCAGGCGCAAGTTTCTCTATCACCTGGTTCAACGGTTGGACCCGATTCAACGTGTTGCGTACGTCGGGGAACGCAAGCCTGACCTGCTCGGATGTTTGGTTCCTTAACCTAATTTGAAGCTGACAAAGGATAGAAAACAGACTTTTGACATCCTTCCATAGTGGAAGGGATTGGCTGTAACAACAACAAAGGAACAACGGATCTTGCCTCCTCCATTGCCTATCATGGCACACATACCTCAGGCGGTTTCACTCGTGCTTCGCATCAACCTCAAAGAGCGAGTGCAACTGGGGGTAAATTGGTCGCGGGTATGAATGGATATACCTGTTCCTCGACAGCTGCTCTGACAAGCGCACCAGCTATGGTGGGCCGACCAATGATCGTTCTCGACACAGACCCAAGAAGGAGGACTTTTTCCAGAGCAACCTGCACCACAAAGACAAAGAAGAGGACACTCCATTCATTCAACAGCTAGGAAAACAGAGACATCGAATGCAGACAGCAAAACCAGAGACATCGAATGCAGACGGCAAAACCAGAGACATCGAATGCAGACGGCAAAACCAGAGACATCGAATGCAGACGGTTGAACCTGCTGGTAGAGAAAGGCAGTAAAAATGGCGGATTGCAATCGAGTATATGCAGCCAAAGATCGCAACAAAGGATGGCGACAGCGGACGATCAGAACTACTAAGGCAGCAAAATCACAAATCCAATAGCCGATAACAATAACACACCTCACATAATAATCCCATGGTTGTTCCTAGTATCAACAACAGCACAGATGCAAGCACAAAATATGTCCACGATCCTAACACCTGGACCAAACACATATCAATTCCCCCAACCTCTCTC